AGCAGGAATTCGGATGTGATGCCAAAGGTGGCAAAAAGTCTCCACTCAACACAGCTTGGGGTTGGTACATACATTTGAGTGGGGGTTGTATGTGGGGATTTTTTCTTAAGAAATGAAGTGCCATGAAATGCTTTTGTAATTTCAGGAGAAGTTGAGGAACGTGCATACACATTTCCCCTCTCTCCATATATATTGTACAGAAGAACTCTTAGAAGACAGAGTACTCTGGATGTGTGAAACATTCATGACTGGCTCTCTGATAGTACCAGCTGGCAGCCTAGGGTTTTGTGTATTTTATTTCATATCTCAGTAGCAATTCATTAAAAGACTATGAGAGGAAGCACATGTGCAGGCTGCTATGCTTTCAATAAGACTGTGATTTTCCAAGCAGTGTAGGAATGTTAGATACAGTCAAAATGCCACATTGCTGCCTGTATTCGGTCTTAGACATCTGCCCTTTTTTGGCATGGAGGAAAAGCAAAATCTGACCTGTAGCATCTCAGATGATAAGCATGAGTGAGAGATGGCTTAATTTTTCAGATGCCTGGTGGGTTTGGAAGGACTGGTACTTAGGGGAAAAACAAAACCCCAAACAAATAAATTAACAAGTTGCTTCTTTCTCTTCTACATGAAAAGAGTGCCAGGAAGAAAACCAAACCATTATCCTATCTCTTGCTGATGTTTGTCAGAATAATCTCATGCTTTACAGGGTAGCATCATTCCTGTATTCAAAACTGCCATTTTTACATGCCTGATAAGTCATCATATGTTTATTTCTCCCCCTCATGCTACTATACTGATTTTCCCTGTGGGCTTGTTCCAGCTTGTTTCTTCTTGAGAGAGAGCAGTATGGTCCTGTGGTGTAAATCATGTACGAGGGCAACAGGAACAGCACCTGTGTGATTTGGCTTCCAGTTTGGCTGATCTTTGGGATGGGTATGTCTGGGAATTTTAGTTTACAAACAAGGGTATTTTTATCTTTGATAATAGGTCAATGGTGCTTTGAGACAGCTGTCAAATTGGGGAGAAAAGTCATGATCTCCCAAGGCCTGTCTATAAAAAAGATCTGCTTTGTGATCTTCAGCATGTTCTACCTGGTTTTGCTGTCGCTTCTTTTGGGGAAGATATGACAGATGGTAGTATTACCACATGCTTTAAAAAAGGTATCACTAACAGTAAACAGGGCAGATCTGAGGATCCTCCCTCTTATTATTTTGTGCACAAGAGACAGTTAACAATGTCAGCATTTAAATGGTTGTCAGTAGATGTTGCTTAACACCTTCCCTAGCTCTTAGTTGACCTTATTTTCAGTGAAGGACAATGTACTTCTCCACCAAGAGAGCAAGTGGATACAGGATTACATGGGAGTTCAAGCACTGTTTCAACTATGAGAAGCACCATTTCCTATGAGAGGAAATGGGCTTAAGTTGCACTAGAAGATGTTTAGGTTGCCTAATAGGAAGTATTTCATTCCTGGAAGAGTGGTGAGGCATTGGCCCAGGCTGCCCAGGGAGGTGGTGGGGTCACCATCCCTGGAGGGGTTCAAAAAATGTGTAGGCATGGCACTTCAGGACATGGTTTAGTGGCCATGGTAGTGTTGGGTTGAGGGTTGAGCTTGATGATCTTGGAGGTCTTTTCCAACCTTAATGACTCTATGATTCTATAATCCACTTAAAGATCAAAGCTTTAATTAAAATCCTAGCAGAGATGAGATAGAGAATCTGCCTTGATGTAAAAATATGCTTTATGGGAGTGGAAGCATCCCATAGACATATTTACATAGTCTTTACTTCTCACTAACATGCAGAGGTTTTACTTGGCATTGTAGGTAGACCAGTCTTATTATTTATTTATAATATAAGCTCTGATGCTGTAGCACAGGCAGTATCTTCAGAGTCAAGCTGTATTGCTTGTGTTCTGACTCCTGTTGAGCTGGGGCTCTGTGGTGTTGGTTTGACCACATGGAGTGCAGTGTGGAATAAGTAAGCTGATGAACAGCTGAATATAGGCAAAAAAAATGCTGAAGGTTGTCATAATATGAGCCAAATACGTGAATCCCTAAATGTAGGCAAAGATGTCAATGGTTAGATTGAGAACAGAGGAAGAGAGTTGTCATGCTACTGCTCAGTGGAGTCTGCACTTGGGAACAGTAATACTGATCCCAGTCTTGTTTGTGAGATAGACACTTTGTCAGCTGATTGTAAAGCAAAGTGTAAATGGGAGGTTATTCTATGTACAACTGATCTGCTCTTGCAGAGTTATATACAGCAGTGGCAAAAGTGTACTGGCATGGATGTGTGTAAGTCTAGACAAAAATACCATGTAGTCATGAATATATAAGCACACAGGTAGGTTCAGTGTGAACAGAATGACTGACAAGTCCTCAAATATAGCATTCCCTATAAAACAATAAAAAGTTGGCATCCCTAATTTTATGGTAAAAATTGTTCCTACTACTGTCTGAAAAGACTGTAACAATTTATTCTGTGATTGCCTCCCTGGTGATACCTGCTTTTGGAAGAAAAACATTGTAGTTCTCCAGCTAATGGGAATAGAACAAAGCTGTGAAGCAAAAGATGAAAAAATAAAAATACTGAGCTAAAGACTGCATTGCTGCTGGAAACATCTGGGGACTGGAGCATCTCTGTGAGCAGGAAAGGCTGAGAGCCCTGGGGCTGCTCAGCCTGGAGAAGAGAAAACTGAAAAGGGATCTGATCAATGCTGATCAATAGCTAAAGGGTGGTTAGTAACAGCTCATCCAAAGAAATTTGTACATGTCATCAAGGTAAATTTTAAAGCAGATGAAAAAAACCAAACCAAACCAAACCAAACCAAACCAAACCAAACCTTACCAGACTGTGTCTTCAAATAAAGACAAACAGGAGCTATACTGGAAATACATGTTAAAATACTGATGAAATGAGTTGACTGTTAGTAAGCTGTGTTAGACCAACCTGACTTTAAACTGGTTTAAAATAAAACTTCTGAAACAGACACCGCTTTAAGCTTTTATGTAGCAGGGTAAAACGTGGAAAGAAAGTGTCCATAATATTTCTGAGGATTAACAGTGACAAGAAAAGGTTTAAGATTCTTCCAAAAGTCTGAACATTTCAGAAGCTGTCCTGATACCTTCATCTCATTCTGCCAAGATACTTGTAACCTTAGAAAAAGTTAAGGTGCTTTTTTTGAGAAATAAATTGATTTTTCAAACAGAATGGTGTCCATTTTCAGTATAAGCAAAGAAATCCCCTCTGAATTTTGACAGTGTTTATATGCATACACTTTGTCATCCTCTTTGGGGGGTTTACTTTTCTATTTAGTGTAAATAGGAAAACCCCATAAATTCCAGGCAAAACTTTCTCATGAGAATGGTTCTCCTGAGGGTTTCTCACTGTAAAATCTGCTTCATTTTTAGGTTAGACACAAAGCTCATTATATTTATAGGGTTAAGTTTGAAGGTCCCACCTTGTCTGACAGGCAGAATGACTCAGCAGGAGAGCTCTGCCTGTGTTTCCACCATCCTAGGAGCTAATCTTCTCTCACTCTTAAATTTCAGAAATAAAAATACTATTACTCTTTTTACTCATAAGAATTATTAATCTGTAGAACCTTTCATTTAAGGCTACTTTTTCATTATAATATTTAGGCATTCTCCCCTGGGTATGGGGACACTGAAGCAGTGTTGGTTTGGTTCTAAGTGTTGTGTAGTATTGCACAGTTTATTGGAATCTGCTCTCTTTAATATCTGTAAAATACTAGCACAACCTTTGGTGAGGAGCATGTACATTAAGCCTCTTCCATTAAATAAGAGATTTAAACATAGTTTTGTCTTTGCTTATATAACCACTTCTCAGTCTGAGGTGTATATAGCACCATGTTCCCTGGCATTGGCCAGTATCCAAAACTGCCAGTGCCTACACTTCCTCCCGTGTAAGGAAGCAGATAATCACATTGTGAGGAAAGAAATAATGTGTGAGTTGTTAAAAATTTAACCTAAGTTCTATTTAATCTTAAATCAAAAGCACTGTAGCAGTACTGCACAAGCAGGCCCCTGAATTTTTTAATTCTTTTTTAGTTTTCAAAGGTTAATTAGTGCTTGATTTGAAAAGCTTGAGAGACACTGATTCACATCAGGTGCTTTCATAAGAAAAAAATTCAGTGATGGGAAATCGTATCAGAAAAACAAACAGAAGATCTTCTTGACTTCTTGTGTGGTCCTCAATAAAGTGACTGAGTCTAACTACAAAGCAGAAAAGACTGAGGCAAATTTCAGAATGTACCTTTTCAAAGCTCAGGAGGTATACATTTACAGTCTGGCTTTCAGTCAGTATTCATTTGGTCTGTATTTTTGCCTCTGTAAATGGCTGATGCAAATCTTTGTAGGCATAAGTTTTTACCAACTACATTGATAAATATTTCAGACGTCTCAATATCTGATTTGGAGCATAGACGTATATTTGTCATGAATTTTCCAGGTACAGGCTGTCCAAAGCAATGTTAGCAGTGGTTTGAATCTGCTGTTTACAGTGGAAGCCCAGTGCCAAGTACTGCCCAGGCTCTGTGTGGACAAGGCAGCGTTACGGGCTGTCGGCTGCCTCGCTGCAGCTGCTTCCATGCCAGAAAAGCAACACTTACACAATACCAGTTTTGCCATAAAAGCTGATAAAAGAGAAAGCCACAAGATGAACAGAACTGCACAAAGTGAAGCCCGGGCTTTACTCAGAGGGGTCTAACACTGTTTCTGTCCTTCCTGATTTCTTTCAGCATGGCAGAGACTCATGGTTTGATGGAGAGACTGGAGAAAGCAGTGACTCGACTCGAGTCATTATTTTCAGATCCACACCGATCTGCTGGAATGGAGTGTGATGCCATCAATGGAGTCAATGGAAGTAAGTCTGGTTTTTTGAAGTACCATCTCTCTGTTATTAAAAAATTTCAAGTAGAGCATGTATTTGTCTAAGAAAGAGTGCAATCCCACTCCTTATGAATTCTGTATCAAAAGGAAATGGTATTTTAAAAAATTAATTTAGAACTGCCATGTGATAAGCTTAGTCATATGCATAATTCTAAATTAATATAGCCTAGAAAATGCAAGATTTGACTAGTCTCTTAAATATACTGTCCATAATTCAAGTTTTATTGCTTTCCATTTTAGCATTTATATTGTTGTAGATGATTCACCAAATGAAAATGTCTGCTTAAGCCCAATTAGCAGAAGAAATGAGACATCCCCAAAATTTACAGCATAAATATTCTTCAAGAAGTCAGTAATAGAAACATGGAGTTTATTTGCCATCATATCTCTGAGTTTCACAGTGTAGACCTACTTCATTTAATTGTCCTTAATCAAGTATGGGTTTATTCATAAGGATTTGCTCACTTAGGGCTGCCACACATCCATGGCCACCTTTTGTTATTTCTAGTCTATCCCTTCTCAAGTGGATCTCCAAAGCACTGTATTGGAGAATACACAGAAAAAAAAGTCTATCTTCATTTATTCACATCATGTCACAGAATCACAGAATGCCAGAATGGTCAGGATTGGAAGGGACCTCTGGAGGTCATCTTGTCCACCCCCCCCTGCTCCAGCAGGGTCGCCCAGAGCAGGATGCTCAGGATCACATCCAGGCAGGTTTGGAATCTCTCCAGGGGAGGAGACTCCACAACCTCTCTGGGCAGCCTCTTCCAGGGCTCTGTCAGCCTCACAGGAAGGAAATTTCTCCTTATGTTTAGGTGGAGCCTCCTGGGTTCCCGTGTGTGCCTGTTGCCCCTTGTCCTATCACTGGGCACCGCTGACATGGGAAGATGGATTAGATGATTTCTAGGGTTCCTTTCAAACAAAGCCATTCTATGATTAGATGCCCTCTCAGTCTTCTCCAGGCTGAACAGCTCCAGGGCTCTCAGCCTTTCCTCCTCACAGAGATGCTCCAGTCTCCTAATCATCTTTGTAGCCTCCACTGGACTCTCTCCAGTAGTTCCCTGCCTCTCGTGAGCTAGGAAACCAGATATCATCAAATCTTATTTCCACTCCTTAATTTTATTATTGTTTCTGAAATTTGCAGGGTGAATAGCCTTATCAATGTGACAGCTGTAATATGAATGAAGTGTCCTTTTCTTTTCTCTAGAGCTTTTTCTTTTCACTCAGAACCCCAGCATATATCCCTTTATTAGCTTCATGTCCTTTGCTTTTTGTATTCCTGGGCCCTTTTCTGCATTCCCCAGAGAAGAACACATCCCAGCATGGACTCAGCTGCTGTACAGAAGCTGCAGAATAAGCAGAAGGCTGCAGGCAGCTTCCCCACTGACACAGAAGCAAGTCAGGGTATGTCAGCTGCTTTATTGTCCCCGTGTGCCAGTCCTTACCCACCAACACGTGTGAGGGACCTTCCCCGCAGCCGCGTGTGCCATGGGCCCACACGCTGGCAGCTGCTGTGGAGCAGCTGACTGAGGCAGCCTGTTCCTCTGGCAGGAAGGGAGCATCTTCCATCAGGCTTCCTTGGCAGGTGGGTTAGCCACTCACAGCAAGCTTCAGGAATGAAATGCTCACAGTCCAGAGAAAACCTAGGCAACCTGTAAACCACAGCAAAGTCATGGACACCATCCGTGGGCAAACTGACAAATAAATCAATCACCAGTAGGAAGTGTACATTTTAAAAATATCTCTGTATTAATCCAGAGCTCAGTAGTGCAGAACCAAAGCTGCTTTCAGAACAGGAGATGAACTCCATGAAAATTGCTGTATCCCTGGTCTAACCTAGGAGCTCAGTCAGGTGAGAAGATTCACCCCCCAGGGAAGCAGAGCCTTAAAACCCCAACAGATCCCTGGAAGAGACCAGCTGGCAAACCTTTTTGGAGTGAAATAAGCCACAGGCAGTAGGAGACTGCAGGTAGAAGCTGGCCTGAGCAGCACCATTGGACACTTGCCAGCCTGCACCACGTCTCCAGGCAGAGCTATCTCCCACAAGGACTCAGGAATTAGCCTTTGCTGGTGAAGTTAGGAAAGACTGTACCAGTTCTTCAGCTCGGGTGACCCATACAGACATCATGCCACCAACACCATTCTGTGTGCCTGTGCTTCTGCAGAGGTTCACATAACCTCCACAACAACTGCAGAGAGGATGGTCTTACAGAGCAGGTCTCTTTTTCTTTTTTCTCCTTTAAAACTGACACTGAGCCAGGGTGTGACCTTCTTTAAGTCTCTGGTGGAAATGGAGATACATTGCTTTCTTCTACCATGATCCCCTCCCCTAAAAGACCATCCCATAATAAGAATTATTAGAAAAAACAACCTTGACTTTTCAATTAATACTATTTCAGAAACAACAAAATAACAAGCAGGATGGGAGAACTGCACCTTTACTGTTCTCCTAAATGGCATTACAAGGGCAGGATTGCAAACAAATCATACAATTGCTCTGCACAGCCCACAGCAAGTTCTAGTAAAAGCTCCTGGGAGTTGGCTGGATTGAACAGTAAAAAATGGCATAGTTGCTTTCTAGTTTTGCCCAGGACAATTGCCCTTTGGCGAACGATTTAACACTCAGCTCTGAAGTGAAAGGTTGCAATCATTCTCTTGGAGACATACACAGATTTTGACAAAGAACATAAATGGGCTTTGGAAAGCATCTCCACAACTAAAGCCTTTTGTACACTAGGTCATTTGAGGGGTTTACACACAAACACTTAATATGGAAGAAAGCCCAGAAATTCCTCAGAATTAAAGGTGAGTGACATCAAGAGAACAAAAAGAGCCTTGAAATCCTGCCTAGCTGGCTAACCACTTTTTTTTTTTCACACAAGCCATTGCAAACTCCAATTGCTAGAGCCTTTCTTTTTTTTCTGTCAAGGAGCCAGATGACTATTGTGGAATACAGAGGGCTTTCAAGATTATGAATTTGGACACAATTGTCATGTAGTGCCAAAAGGTTAAACCAAACTCTCTGGGGAAGGCGTGGTACCTCTTCAGAGCAATCTTCAGGCTTCATTAATGAGGGAGAGAGGCTGGGAAGAATTTTCACTTTGGTCTCTCAGGTCCTACAGATGCCATAAATTCACACGTGCATCACTCAAGCTGGACCTGGCAAAGGTTCTGAGGCGTAGGCAAGACATGAGGATATGTCAGGGAGTAAAGGCTGGGCTGGAAAGCACCCAAGGAAAGATTACTTTTGCTGTCTTAAAATGTACCTCAAAATCCATTGAGAAGCCAGGTGCCTAAGAAACCAAGTCTCATCTGCATTTTCTGGTTGTCCACTTTATCAGGAAACTGTTGTGTACACCATATAGAAAATAGCATTTTAATTCCCCAGATAGAATGTATAACATATAGTCAATGGGATGTGGCAGGTAGAAGACTTGTTTGAGCTTTCTTTATCCAGTGACAGTTTTGCAAGGTCAGACGACAAAAAAAGGAGATTACAAAGCCAGATCTCACTGTGTAAATCCACTGTCAATCCATCCTAAAGACTCTATCTTATTGGAAATTGAAATGCTTGATATTGAAAGCCACTAAACAGTAAAAAGATATTCAGGAATGGGTGGATGGTATAAAAATAGTTGTTCAGTACAGTGCAGGTTCTCTTTAGAGGATAAATTTGTCTCATGAGCAACAGTAGAATTGTGTTAAGACAATCATGCTTATCAGCAACCAAGGCCAGGTTGGATGGGGCTTTGAGCAACCTGGTCTAGTGGGAAGTGTCCCTGCCCATGACAGGGGGTGTTGGACCTAGATGATCTTTAAGATGCCTTCCAACCCAAACCACTCTATGATTCTATGATCAGGCCATTAGGCCTTTGAAGGACTGAGAAATGTTTATTTTAACACCTGTTATTTGAAGACAAGAGAGGCTTCCCCACTACATTATACTGAGTAAATTCCCTTCATGTTCCTAGCCAAGTTCTATCAAGAGCAGAGGTTTCTTCTTTCGAGCTAGGAAAAAAATCATTATCCATCCTTTTTCACTGATTTCACAGATCAATTAGTACATCAGAAATTAAGTTACAGCAGTTTCCCTGTTTCTATGGCATTTCTCCTCCACCTGTTACAAAGGAATATCCTACACATTATGTGCTTTATGAACCCCTTCTAATGGACTGCTCTTCTTCCACAGGCATAGCACCCTATGTTGAAGCCTTTGACAGGCTGCTGAATGGAAGTGTTGCTGAGTTTCTCAGGTACAGCAAGATTCTTGAAGGTGATGTGAAGACACATGTGAGTATTTACTCAGATTTTCTGTACATGATAGAAGCGTACAAGTCTTGGAATCTGTGTGGTGGGCTTTGATGGCTAAGTAGGGCAGAATCTTAAGAGATTCTTAAGAGACTCTGAATTACTAGTTCTTGTAGTAGTAACAACCTGGTGTAACACACAGAGGACATTTGGTTCAGGAAGGGCAAAAGGCTGTATGGATTCATAAGAAGAGACTGCACCCCTTCTACAGTACCAAAGGTTGCAGACCATAGTATGCCAAATACATATTCTCAGCAAGAATATTCTGTAGCCAGAAAAGCATGCAGTCCTTCAAGCTACTGGGACTTATGCTGCAAGGCCAGCATAAATATTTTGCAAGACAGGCAAAGTAACCAGCATACTCACAGAGTGAGAGCTCTGGGCTTATTCTGTGAACTGTGTTTTCTCCACAGCGTTACGCGTTCTGTTGGTGAGGCAGCTTCTGACCTAGTTAGGCCTAAAAAACTGGAGGGAGTACAAAGATCAGGCAATTCTAGAGGATCTTTGTGTTTGTGAGGAAATGCTGCACTTCCTTTTTATTTGAAAAAGCCTTTTCATCTTCACAGTTATATTATTAGCTACAGTGTATGTACTTTGTTCTTAAAAGAAATTAGGAGAAAATTAATAAAAGAGAGAGGGGATAATTATCAACCTATCTGAGCAGAGCATTGCTCCCTGGAAAGGATGGGTTCTAGCTTGGGTCATTGCATTCATTAGACACCATTATTTTACAGTTGATTTCTCAACAGTCTAGACCTGAGAGATACAGAAATAGCCTTAGTATCAACACTAAGCAGGGTAAAAAAATTCACATTTAACATGCTAAATGACTAAAACCTTTTTAATATACACTAGCTGTAAATGTTTAAACCAGTAAGTATATTAATTTATGCATTTGTCACTATTTGATACTCATAACTAAGTACATATAAAAGATTATTAGTAATTTATCTGCCAAGTCTGTGGATAGTCCCTAGCATATTGTTGATGATAGTGTAACACAAACTGTGGTGAGGAATATTTGTCAGGACTATGAGATTAGACATAAACAACTTTCCCTTACATAAAGAAACGGGTGAGTCTCATTGCAGCCTACTAAATATTCTGAAATCTTAGATTCTGAATTTACAACATGAAGCAGACTGTGGCTGCCTTATGCTCATGCTTATCACTGAAGCAACATCTGTGCTTTACCTTAACAAGTGGAACAAGGAATATTTTTCTTCTGGGTGTCTTATAGACCATGTGTCCTCAGCATTATACTTGCAGCTGCTGTCTCTTTCACATACTGAGCTGAAAGGAAGGTTGTATTTTATTTCAAAAAACACCTGTTGCCTAGAAAAACCTCACATACCTGACAGACCAGAATGGTAATATGAGAGAAGGAGAGACTTCATCTTATGCTAAAGAAATGAGGGATTTAACATGATGCGTTTCGTGCTGATTGCTGTAAGGATTGTGTGTGTGAGAGGCAGAATACAGCCAGCACTACTATCTGCTGGGGACCCAGTCCTGGTTTTTCAGCATGCTGTGCTCTAAATAGACTATTGAAAGAGAACAAAATAAAAAGAAAACTAATAGCTAGCTCCTGGCTCTGTTAAACACAGCAGTATGGTGGATTTTACGAAGCTTAGTTTATCAAGGAAGAGTTCTGCTTAGACTCAAATCTTGAGAGCAGCATATTTCTCATTCAGATTACAGTCCCTGCAGCAGTGAAACCCTGAGGTCAACTGCATTAAAGAAATGACCACTTTTTAAAAGACAAAGAGAATGGCTGGGTTTTTTCCTTCATCTATTGAAAACAAATTATCCTAAACAGCTTAGATGAGATCCTTTTCCTGTCCTGTCACTATGGAATAGAAATCTGGTGATTATATGGATCTTTCTGTGAAATAGAAAGTTCCCTACAGGCACAGATTTTATGCAACCACTTTCCACTGTCCATGGCATAACTGTAGAGCATGTGAAGTCAGTGAAAGAGTGAGTGGGGTGAGGACTGCTGCCAACCACTCCCTTTGGCTTGATTCAGCAGTGTCTGGCAGGCTGTCCCCAACTACTGAAGGTTATAACAGCCCTGAAGCTGATTCACCACGTGTGCCAACACCAAACCATTCTTCTGTCAGAACGAGGGAAGTTCAAAAGCAGCAAAAAATAGACTTTGGGTCTCCAGCACAGGTAGTTCTCTTATGCCCAGCAGACAGGACAGCACTGGCTGATGGCTTCATCACAGAGACTTGAGTCCCATCACTTCACCCAGGTGCAGCCACAGCTACTGAAAATGTGCTGCTGAGAAACACAAAGAGCTGCCTGTGGAAGACAGGTCTACCTTCAGATTGTGTCTCAATGAGGAGCTGGTCAAGCAGGTTTGATGTGCTCTTTGCCCTGTCAAAGCCAAGCTCAGCCAGCCAAAGCAAAGGCCAAGAAGCAAGTTTTTGTGGTGTTTATGATGAGCTTCTTCACATTGTTTTTGTTTATATGATAGCTCAAGAGGTTGAATACTTTGGCATGAGTTTGAATAATGTACCAGATGAGACGTAATGATAAGAAGAGAATGTACTAGTTTTACAAGAGAAAGACAGATAACATTAAATTTCCATATTTTAGTATTTTGTGCAGAACAGAGCAGAGCACAATTACAGCCTTCCTGTCAAAAACATAAACTAATACTTGCTTTTTTTTAATACTTTATTTGTAAAAAATCTTTTAACCTCCCCACCCCACTGGTTGAAAGAACAGATTGTCTGAGTGATTCAGTTATGTTGCCTCTTCTTTCATCCAAGCTATTTAGCTTGGAAAAGAAAACTGTAGAAATATGGATGCCTATTCCCTCCTCTCTTCCATCAGCTCACGGCTGCTGAAATGCAGAGCTCAGACAGACAAACCAATGTTGTGGGTTTGAGCATTCAGAAATAAAGAGGCTGTTGGTTAGCTTGCTACTTAGTGGGGGACAGTTCAGATACAAATCATTACGTGTGTGACCACTGGGACAGGACAGCACGAAGCAGCAGTTCACAGCATGTTATCCAGTCTGCAGGGGTTCTCTGTCTGCAGGCACTCATTTGTTATCTTTGTGAGCAGGGGAAGCAACGTTCACCCCACAAACATTCTTTGCATGCACATACCCACAGAGTTTCTTTTTTATATCATGAAGGCAGTGACATTCTCCTCTCCTCTTTGCAGGCATAGTCTATGTAAATATAGCCAGGCAACTAAAAACAGGAGTTACCTTTTATGAGGTATGCACTTTGCAAAGTGCAGCTCCAGTTTGGCCTCTCAGTGAAGTTAAAAACTCCTAGCTTCCTCATTTTTTTTCCCAAAAATTGTTCTTAGACTTGAAATAGTCTTATCTTGTCTTTTCTTGTGAGAGATGTTGAAGAATCAGTCAATGACTTCCATAGCCCTGAACTGAGAACAGATGTGCCGCTGTCTGTGATACACAAAAAAACCCACTTCTGTGCTTTACCTTACCTAATCTAAACACAGCTTATCAAACCCATTATTTGACTGATTCCTCATTAACAAGGCAATTTGCTTACAGGGCAACAGAATGCACAAGTGTACTCTCGTGTTCATCTTTTGTGCCCAGAGGCTCTGCGGTTTTAGGCATTGTGTTGAAAGTTGAATTAGAGCTCAGAGAGGAGGATGATGTCAACGTGCCCAAAGAGGAGCTTGCTGTCAGGCTGCCTTTGCATTTCTGTGCTAGGTATTTTCTGCTACGTGAAATAAACACCAAGCCAAGTAGCTACCACAGGACTGGGAAAAAACAGAATTCATGAAAAAGAATAAATAGACAAACAATTTTTAATACAAAATGCACTCAGCTGAAAGAAAGTGACTAAGTGTAAAAAACAGTACTGCTGCCCACCAAAAGAGAAAAAAACCCCAAATAATCATCAACCAATAAAGAAACCTTAGGAATCTATCGATATTAAAGTTGATGTTGTGATGCTAACTCAGCTATATTTCTCACCTTGTATGTGTACTACAGGATACTTCATAACACAAGCAATAAAGAACGTTTGTTTTAATATGTCAAGAAAGATGGAAATGCAATAAATACAATGTAGCCAAGTGGCTATTCTGAAAAAAAATGTAATTTTTAGGAGCTTCACAACTTTTGATTGCTCTGTTCCTAAGGACGACTTCCCTTGTGGCCTAGGGATTGGACCTGGCTTTCCACACAAGCTGGATTTACTGGGTCAGGTGCAGTGGTGTGTAGACATGGTTGCACCTGTCTGACTGTAAGACTCCTGGTTGGGAGCAAAGATGGCTCTTGATGATGTAGAACCTGTCCTGTGCAAGAACCTGTCCATTATCTAGGCTTCTTCTAGTTTCTTGACACTGACATTGCAGTAAATACCACTTGCTTTTCTCCTTATTGAGAAAGGCAAGGAAGAGACAGAAGTCAGACAGAGTCAGTGGTGACATACATGCCATGGTGGCCAGTGTAGCATTTGGTTCTGTGGTGCTGACACGAGAAACATCCACCTGCAGATTTAGGGTGGTGAGAATGTATAATGAGGATGTTCCATATGGCATTCCGCAGTCAGAAACATAAGAAATCAGAAACACAAACAGTCAAGGCTGCCAAGAATTCTTCATAACTTGTTTTCATGGGGCTTCTTTGCATATGGAGTAGTTCCTGACTAAACCCATAAGTAACAATGTTGACGTCAAAGCCATGCAGCTGATTAGGGACCATTTTTTGGGCAAGGCCCCTAAAAGCAGGGATTGTATCTATATGTGGTTACCCAGTACAATGGGTTTTTCTGATCTCCAGAAGATGCCAGGGAAAAGGTATCAGAATTATTTGTGTGGGCAACTTTCTATGCAATGAGAAAGCAAAGAAAATTCTGTCATGTTTGCCCAAGAAAATGTTAAAAGGCAACTTGCTCATGTGAAAAAGATCCTGATAGGCTCTTTAATGGACTGGATTAATCCAGAATAATATCCAGTGTTCCAGCTAGGTTTAAGGTCCATGT